CGGATTGAGGAGAGCATAACAAAGCCCGTTTAGTGGAGGGCGCAGAACGTGTCCAAGGCATCTCAATCGTTTATCTTGGGTGGTGTGAAATTTCCTCGCGATAACTTCACAGTAAGTGGAGATTGTCCCATTAGAGATGCAGTCGGTATACCTCACTCGAAGGATGGTCGTCCTCAAACAGTGATGGTCAAACACCTCCAGTTTTCTTTTGTCTTCCACACGCATAGTCCAGTATTGACAACCATAAGGGAGCACTGACCGGAGGACTGAATGGTGCACACGGGTCTTTGGAGATGTTCACAGTCGTTTTCGAGGGAATTGAGAAAAAGGCAAGCAGAATCGATTCGGGAATCAGTGTCGTCCTTTTTCTGTCCATTGGGTAACAGTCCTACCCCGAGGTATTTGCAGTTACCTACTTCTTCACCTTCACGGCCATTAATCCCCAGGAGTTTCTTCTGCTGGTCATGGATACAGCTCTAGAACAACTTGGTCTTCCCAGCGTTTATGGACAACCCGACCGAAGTAGCTATCTCATTCACCCACGACACTACAAACTAATAGCCTGGCGTCCACTGATCCGGTTGCGGAACACGCTTGTAGCTTGGAGCTCAATCTAGAGCCCTCGCACGTAGTCGCATATCGACTAGTAAGATAGCGATATTTTGATAACGTGGAACGACTAAAGTCGGTAACTTGCTCTAACGCGTCCTCGGGGATCTTGAGTCGCCGTCACGCTCTTCAGCTGCGTCCTGCAACGATGTATATTCCAGACCATATCAGGGGTTTGTCTTTATATACACACGGCACGCCCAAGTCTCATCTGCGCCTAGTCCGTCGTATTTGCGCGCTAGTCATCATTCGTGTAACCATCTTGCAGACATGTTTACAGACCCCGACACTGGCCTGAAAAACCTCGGGCGTGTATTTGTGTATGTGTTTGCGCCCTGTATCACATAGTTGCAGGCTTGCGCCACGCCAACCACCTGCGCCCGATTACGCCTCCGGGTCCTTTTGACTCAGTTTTCACACCCGCCGCGAGTTGGAAGAGAAAGTGCGGTAGATGCCGCGCAAGTCTACTATCACTTAAAAACAATTCACGTTCAAGTCATCATCCTGTAAACTTCATCGAAAT